ATTCTGACTGGTGTGAACTGATACCTCATTGTAGTTTTGATTTGCATTTCTCTGATAATTAGTGATATTGAACATTTTTTCATGTGCTTTTTGATCATTTGTATGTCTTCCTTGGAGAATTGCTTGTTTAGGTCTTCTGCCCATTTTTGGATTGGGTTGTTTATTTTTTCCTTATTGAGTCGTATGAGCTGCTTATATATTTTGGAGATCAAGCCTTTGTCGGTTTCACTTGCAAAAATTTTCTCCCATTCTGTAGGTTTTCTTCTTGTTTTATTTCTGGTTTCCTTTGCTGTGCAGAAGCTTGTAAGTTTCATTAGGTCCCATTTGTTTATTCTTGCTTTTATTTCTTCTAGGAGAATAAGAAGATATTCTTGTTCTGTCTAATCCTGGATTCCTTCCAAAGAAGGGGAAACTGAGAGAGTGCTTATATTTGGCTGAGAGTAGTGATGGATTTGGGGATGCATGCTTGCAGGTAGGGATTGGGGCGATACTAAGTTTTTCTGCCTACTTGAGCTGGAAGGAAATACATTGGGTGGGAGGAATGGGGAAGACATGCAGAGATAGAATGCAGAGACTTGACTTGGCCAGGAGTGTGCTGAGGAAGAGTAATGAGAGAGAAACTCCCAGAACAGAGCTGCCAAGTAAGGATTTGGAGAACAGGAGTGCTTGCTTGCAAAGATCAGTAAATAGTTTGCTGGGGGAGGGGAAGGGGGAGGTACCCTATGAAGTCCTTGCTCTCTACCCTTCCTGTGAAATAAATCATTTGTAAGGGCAGTTGTTCCCCAATTTGTTTGTGAGTGGGTTCCTTTGGGGAACTCAGGGTGGTGCTGAGTTCAGCATCTGGGTTGATGATGTAGGGTGAGTACAGATAAGCCTGTGGGGGCGGTGGTTTGGTTTGAGGGGAAGAGCTTGAAGACAGCTGGCCACCGAGTTACACACAGATAACATGTGGGAAAAGGGTTGTAATAGAGGTTCAAGCCATGCGGAAGGCAGGGAGGGCTGCGAGTGGAAAGAAGCACCGAAAAGAAGAGTTATGTGAATTGAGATATCCGGAGGAGGTTAAGTTTGGGATGGGATTTGAGAGGGGGAGTAGGGATCTGACACACAGATCAGCAAGAAGAAGGCGATCAAGGCTGAGGGAAAGCAAAAGCACAGAAAGAGGACATCTCATGGTAAGTTCTGGGCCTTCAGTAGAAGAAAGGAAGTTGGGACCCTATTGCAGAGGGTCCCCAAGTGCCCTGCCAGCAACGCAGACTTCAGGCTATGCATATTGAGATGCCCTGGAAGATGTGCCATTTTAGTCGTTCTTGTTTGGTTTGACACAAGACGGGCCTGTGCTGCCAGCTTTCCCAAGTAAGGGCTTCCTGTCAGAATGGGAGGGTCAGGTGGCAGAGACATCATATTGCTGCCCCTTTGAAGAACCAGAGTCCAGAGGTACAGGTGTCTCACTGCACAGGGCGCCCAGCAAGGGGCTGAAGTCCGGGCTCTACTGACCCAGCCTTGCAGCCTGGCTGAGCCGCATCGCCTGCCTTGACTCTAATTTGTACAGAGGCTTAGCGTGGGCTGCTGGAGGCTCTGGCTGCTGAACTCTGTCTTTAAGGCTGAAGCCTCAGTGAAACGAATTAGGATTTATTGAGCATTTGTTGTATGTGCAAATGCAGGGTAGAGTGGAGTCTTGAAGTTAGGAGTAGCTGTGAGTCTGAGCACGTCTCTGCTCTTGGGTGACACTCAGAGATGTGCTCTAGGATACAGAGGAGGAAGCTTGCTTCCTCCCCTTGGAGCATTTGCAGTCCACACTGGCTGTAAAACAAACACTCAAAACGATTAAGAAGCAATAAAAGACAGTATAAAATTAAGTGCCAAATTGTATAGAGCAGATTTGCAGGGCAAGAGAAGGGAGAACTCCTCCGGGCTTAAAGCATTAAGACAGGTTTCAGGGAGTGGGAGGCCTGGCTTTCCCAGTAAAGGGAGTGTTGGCTCTGGGTTGGAGAGGAGAGCTGTGAGCAAAGGGTCAGAGGCAGGGCAGCAGGAGGCTTCTGAGCGTAGGTTTTAGCCCCCGTGGCCCCTCTAATGCAGTTCCCAGTCGCGGCCAAGCACTCCAATGAGTCACCCTTGTTTCTGAGAGACTGGGCATTTTTGGATGTTTAACTGGCTCAACACTTTACA